GGTAAGGGACCTATTAGGGTTGAATTTTATTACTCAAATGTGTATAAACCATGTTTGTAGGCTGGAATATATGTATTATGGTTTTGTATTGAGATATTCATGCTTTTAAACCCTTGAGTTTTTATACAATAAATTTTTTTTTAAAAGATTGTATTTCTAGCCTATTGGTCTTATACCACCATCAGTTAAGTCCCATTGTTATAGCCCTCATGCAATAATGCATCTAACAATGTGTTGTAGCCTGTTCAGTCTCATGGTTATACCCATAGTTGTCGGATGCGAGTGCGTAACCGGGAGCAGGACCTAGCTTGGGTCCACATAACTGTAGATTGCTAGAAGCTCCTTGTGGTTAGGACTGTCATCCATACAATCCTATATCAAGGGAGCATGATCCTCGTCACAAGGAAGCGCGATTTCGTGAGGAAGGAATGGCAATAGTTAGTTTTAAGGGATCGTGAATGATGTGTGGGTTCACAGTACCAGTTTTAAGGGATCGTGAATGATGCGTGGGTTCACAGTACCATGGGGCACAAACCTGAATCAATGCGTATGGATTAGTGCCCAATAGAGGAAACATCATATGCACTGCATCATAAACTTGAGAATCATGGTTCAAACCTGCTGGGAATGAGGATCACAATATAGGGATCCCCATTCCATCCAAGATTGCTAGCTTGGATCGTGGGATCGAGATTCCAGAGTGGGTCCTGTGACGTTTCCAACATGGTTCCAGCAACTATGGTTATACCCCTCCATGCATGGGAACAAATCCTGTTGCTAGTCTGCCAAATGGAGGAGGCACGATAATATCTATGCTTGACGAAGTGGGCAATAAGGGAGGAGGGGTCTGCGAGAAGTCTAAATGGTAGTTTCATCGTGTCAGCCATATTGAAGTCTTCCATGCTTCGAATCCCCAACCTACCCTCATCTAGTGTCAAGCAAATTGTTTTCCAATTCACTAGGTGAAGGCCCTTATTCTGCAATCTCTCAATGTTATGGCATGTGCGGCTAGGCAACAAAAAGGAAAGTAACCCGTAATTGGAGGATGCGCTGGCAATGTTAGTTTTCAGAAGATCATGAAAAAGAGGTAACCCAGTATATTTCATTGGTAACCCAGTATATGTCATTGGTAGCTCCCCATCTTTGAAATGTAGGATGTCTAAAATCCTTGATTTTGGGCCAGCATTAACCCCAAAGAATAAAATTTGCTCATGGCACTGTTTAGTTCTTGGCCCGTAGTGTTGCAAAAAGTGCCAATGATTGCCTATAGCTTCGCTGCTTGGGGGTCATTAGGTTCTGATGTTACAACAGTTGAAAATCATGCTAATTCAACCTGCTGTAGAATCCCAAAGTTTCTCATTAGGATCAAGAATTTCAAGCTGGCATGCAAGCTTTTGAACATAAGAATTCTTTGAGAGTCTGACCTTTTTGATCGACAAGTTTCTGTTTCCATGGAGAGATGAACATGACAAGTGACATCTTGATCTCCTATATGGTACCATCAATTCAGATGCTCTCCTATTAATTGCGATCCAACTTTTGTGGCAATTAGATCTGGTGCAATGGGTGCAAACTTTCCAGACAGGTGAAAATCCTTTTTTTTTTGGGTTAGTCATTGGAAGATTTTGTAAATCTCTTATAGGGACTTGGCTTCAAAAGTGAGTTTCAATTCTAGACCCCTCCTATAATATATCCATGATGGAAGGACAAATCTTGGAGCACATGAAATTATGTCTGAACAATTACATGACCTCAAGAGCATATTTGCTGATGCTGTTTCCAGTGGGTAGGAAGAATACCCTGTAGAAAAGAAAGGCGAATAGCGCCATGGTGCTATTGCAGTCATGGAATAAAAAGGATGGTGCAGTTTTTGAGAACAATGTGAAATGCTATTTTGATCCGGATTTTTTAATATGGTGATTTCGTTTGGTGTTGGCAAACACCTAGCATTCACTGCCACCAAGAAAAAGGCAAAATGCCTCATACTGCATTCTCAAATCCATTTAAAAAATGATACGTAAACTGTTTAGAGAGGTTTCATTCTCATTGCATCACACTCGCTGACATGCAGATTACATTCCATCCAGAATTTTCTGTGAGCTAATTCCAGTGGCTCATAAAATATACCAATAACTCTTGGTGGATCTGATAGAGGCAGGACTATCCGAATAGGGATATTTTTGTGTTCCTTCTTATGCCGCTATAGTGCTGTTAAACCATAAGAGTCACTTACCCAAACATGTCTCAGATTGAAATCCGGATGAGTTTACTCCTCTAGGTTATTTTGTATTCGAAGACGTTTATTTGCTCTTCTTAAAAAAGCAAGTCATTGGATTTTGTCTGGTTCTACTATTGTTCGTAATGGACATGGTATTACATTGATCCCATGGCTTTCAGTTGATTTCATTGATCAATATTATTATTGCGTAATTTGTTATTTTGCGTTCTTCGATGCATTACTCTTGTTTCTTTGATTGTTCTTTGATACAGTGATACATCAATTATTTCTCCTTTGTGAACAGCCTTTGGCTCGGCTAGGTGCTACAGTAACAGGCATTGACGCTGTTGAGAAAAATATCAGAATAGCTCGGCTTCATGCTGTATGGCAGTTCTATCCCGAATCACACTTGTTTGCTTTTTTGTCACAAGACAGATGCATAGAGCAATTGGTTGTTTCAGTTATTGCGTTTTGAAAGCTTATCCATTGATACTGTTTTTATTTTCATCAATCCAATAGCTATGGTTGTATTTGTGCTTTGATCTATTTAGTCCTTGATCAATAATTTTTTACATGCAAGATATGTTGGAAGTTGTTAATCTATAAAGAATGTGTTGCAATATTATTTTTTTCTCCAATTATCAAAGGGACAAAAGAGAAAACTCCTCATTTGAGGATTTCTTTTTGTTCACTTTTTTTCTTAGTATACTATGTAGTTAGCAACATACATCCGTCCATAGTTTAAGAGTGAACTAGAAGATTTGAGAGTTTGATTATTTCTGTTTAGTGCAATAACTTTTTAATTAGTGGGAGAATTTTATTTTTTGAACATTTCCCTACATTATCGTCATCATTAGCAGCATCATCATCATCATCAGAGCCTTTTCCCAACTATTTGGAGTCGGCTACACGAATTGCGGTCTGCCATTCTGCTCTATCAAGGACCATACCCCCAGTGAGGCTATAAGTCTATATTTTTTCTCACTACTTCTATCTATGTCTTTTTGAGCTTACTCGTTGCCCTTTTTGAGCCTTTCACTTGAACCAACTCACACTGAACATAGGCGGGGAATGCCAAGTGTTTGGTTTGATTTTTGGTGTGAGACGTTCCCAAACTCTTTTATTGATCTTCCCCTTTTAGCCCGATCATTCCATCCTAATAGGTGTTGCATATGGTTAGCCCACATAAGTCTACTTTCTCTCATCTTATCACCTATTGGAGCCACATCTAAGTTCTCCCAAATGTATTCATTTTGAATTTTATCTCTTTTGTCTTTCTACTCATCCATCTCAACATCCTCATCTCTGCTAAACTCATCATATGGGTATGTTGTTTCTTGACCGCCCCACATTCTACCCTATAAAGTAAAGCTGGTTTCACAGTTATCTTATGGAACTTCCCCTTCGGCTTCATTGGTATGCGGCGATCACATAATTCTGGTTGCACATCTCCACTTCGTCCACCTAGCTCTATTATATGTGTGTCATCTTCTTCAATCTCTCTATTATCTTAGATTATCGACCCAAGATATTGAAAGTGCACTCTTTTTGGTATTTTTTAGCTGCCAGTCTTAACTACTTCATCGTCTGTACTATTATAGTTACTAAACTTGCATTTCATATATTTTATCTAATTTTAAAAACTTTAGATTCTATAGCATCTTTCCGAAGTTTTAACTTTGTTTTATTTTTATTTATTTTTTGATAAAAGTTAATTGTTGTATTGAGTAAAGGGAAAGAATACAGTAGTCTTTCGAGATAGCCTAGATGTCGAGCCTCTCGGCAAAAAAATAGGCTTCCAAAAAGAGTAGCCCTAAAAAATGGGTGGGGCTTATAATTGTTGCCCGTTTACAGAGGATTTACAAAAACATAAACAAAGATGTGCCAAAAAACCCCATGCTCTTATGAACCTGCGAAGCGTGCCACCGCTCCCTCCTTAGCCAGTTGATCTGCCAAGGTGTTTGATGTCCTCCAGGTATGCCCCTTTAAGATGGGTATATCCCTACAAATGTGCATAATCTCATCATAAATCGAAGTAAGCTACCGGGGGGAGGGGTATTTCCAGCCGCCCAAGTGATAATGTTTTTTAGCGTCTCCTTCAATGATCAGTGGTAGCCTCCACGTGGGGTTGAACAATTTGAGACCCAAGAAGAGAGCTGTCGACTTGGCAAGCTGGGAGTCAGCATAGCCTACATACTTGGAAAACGAGGCCAGAATGTTGCTGTGGTGGTCTCTGAAGACCCCATCCGCTCCTGTTGTTCTTGGGTTTCCTAGGGAACACCCATCGAAATTGTGTTTAGTGAGGCCTGCAGGGGGAGGAGACCAGTTCTTAGTTTGCGGGATTCGAGGGGAGTGGAAATGGAGAACCTCTTCCCAATTGTGTAGGAATGATGAAGTAGTTTTAACTTTGTCTTGACACTGCTTTGGGTCTTATCAATTAAAGCTATGTCGTCCGCAAACAACATACACTAGTAGACCCCTAGTTAAGTTGTCCATAACTAAGACAAAGGTATGGGTTCAATGTTGATCTGTGATGTAGACCTATTGGCACTGAAAACTCACTCGGCTCTCCACTAGCTATTCGCATACTAATTAGCACTCCCTAACATATCGCTCAACAAGTTCATTAGTACTGGAGACTCCTTTCTTTTCCAATACCCACCAAATTAAATCTCGAGGTACTCTATCATAAGCTTTCTCTAGATCAATAAAGACTATGTGGAGGTCTTTTCATTTCGCCCTAAACTTCTCAATTAGTTACCTAAGTACAAAAATAGCTCAATTGTTTACTTTTCTGGCTTAAAACCGAATTGGTTTTCTGATACACTCGTTTCATGCCTTAGTCATTGCTCAATCACTATCTCCCGCAGCTTTATAGTGTGGCTCATAAGTTTGAGCCCTCGATCATAAGCTTTATCCAGATCAATAAAGACCATGTGGAGGTCTTTTCATTTCGCCCTAAACTTCTCAATCCGTTACCTAAGTAGGAAAATAGCTCAATTTTTTACCTCTCTGGCATAAAACCGAATTGGTTTTCTGATACACTCGTTTCATGCCTTAGTCATTGCTCAGTCACTCTCTCCCGCAGCTTCATAGTGTGGGTCATAAGTTTGAGTCCACGATAGTTCCCTACATTATCATATTTGATGCAAATTGTTGTAATTATTGAGTTGCAGATTTATCATGGGTGATCTTGATATATTTTTCCTTTTGGTTTCTTTTTTGTCCTTATTGTCTTTCATGTTCAGTTCATGATGGATATTTCACTACCATCATTATAGTCAACTAAATAAAAAGAGGATTTTACTTCCAATAATGAAAATATCTCAATTGTTAGCATCAATCTAGAAAATTTTGCCAAATTCCTTTTGAATAAATTTCCTTTGATTGTAGGAGAACATCAATATGCATGTTTTGTGTATAGTTGTAGTTACCATATTGTGAAGAACTATACACTGTTACAATAACCATAGTTACTTCAGATATTAAATACCAGTTTTTTCTTAATCAGCAGAGATTAGGAAGCAATTGGCCACTAGTTTCAGAGTTACCAACTTGGAGCTGGCTTTAGTCACCAAGTTCGAGTTACAAATACCATTCAAAAGAATGTAGAAAACTAAAAAATTGGCAAAATTAATTATATAGATGCTTAGACAAGAATCTTTTGTTTAGGACATTTGTTAGGCATTCTGACACACACATATCTTTTCACGTGTACGTGTTAGATGAAATGGCATGTCATTTAGGCATCTGTACCTCTTGTAAAATGATGTTTCCTTTTCCTTTGTAAACTCTGTGCTACTAGGAACGGAATACTTGGTATCAAGCATTTGACTATGTATCAGAAGTAATGGAATTTGGCTGTCATTGGGCACGCTGACCCCAAGCTTTCTAAAACTGACATTTTTTCCCCTTGACTATGTGATTCTACTAATAGACAATGAAGTGGAAATTGGAAACATCACGCTGATGAGTATTGGAGATAGAAATTGGTATAGCCATTGATTATGAGGCTGTTTGAAGACAATCAGCTAGCTTATAGGACGTATTTTGCTTGAGATGAAACCTTTATTTCATGCTTGGAAACTTCGTTTATCTAGTTATTTTTTATTGGGTAATTTTGTATTATCTATTGCAAAATGGTTCAGAATGATGATTCTCTAAATATCTTATTTTTTGCAAGTAATTTCTGCTTTGGCCTTATTGTACAACTCTGCAATACGTGTGCAGGGATTGGACCCGTCAACATCATCGATAGAATATTCTTGTGCTACAGCAGGTGCATGCTAATTATTTAATCCCTTATTACCATTCAAATAATTATTCAAACACTCTAATGTATGAGTTTAGCCTCAGCGCAGTATTGGGCCTGGCACTGAGCCCAGTCGACTTGCCAAGTCTTGGGAGAGATATGGTAATACTTAGTGACTATTTAAGAAAACATAAGGCAAAAGCCTAAACTGGGTAAAACTTGGCTGTCTCAACAACCTTATGAATGCCTGAGTGAGACCAAGTTGATTGCCGAGTCTTTAGAGACTGATCTTTCTTTTTCAAGTAGGTTAGCGGTGGGATTGGAACCTGGGATCTAGCATTGCTACTGTGAACACTAACTGTTCAAGTCTAATGCCCAATCCCAAAGAAGTATGGCTCGAATTGGTTTTGTCTTTGGGGGCACACTTCGAACCAGAGTTAGTGGAATTGTCCATCTAATGTGGTGCTCCTGCACCCAGAATATTGTTCTGCCTTTCTGGGAGTGGGAACACATTCCTATTCTGTTGGGAACACATTCACTTCTTGGGAACTCTTTCCACTTATGTTGTAAGGATGAGCAAGTTTAAGTGCTTAAAGTAGGGCGGAATTTTTCATTCTAGAACGAGTTTGAAAGAGAATTGAGCTGCACAACCTTTTTCTTTTGTTTATCTTGTCTTTTATTAAATGTTTATTGTATGGGTGCTCCGTTTCCATGGCATTCTCCGTTTCCATCGCATTCCCTAAGGGCGTATTTGATAACAGGAAGTTAGAATAGGAAGAAGGAAATTTACCTATTACTGTTCATGTTATGTGTTTGATAAAAAGTGGAAGATAATTTGAGAACTCCCTTTTACTGTTGAAATTCCCACCTTTAAGGCTTGAGTAAAGTTTCATGGTAAACCATGGAACTT